TAGCGTTAATTAACTAATCCATAAGTTTTAGTGTGTAAAGATAATGACAAGCACAGCTTCCGACTCATTAACCCCAGCAAAGCTCATCTATTATTCGGGGTGTACTGTTCGGTCGAATGTCAGAAAAAGTAAATGGCATCGGATGGGTACCACGTCGAAGATCATGCGCGTCGACGCAACCTTCACCTGCAGCAATTCTAATTTTGCTCATCCATACGCGTTCGCAAGGGATGGTGTGTTCTTATACGTCGTGAATTAGAACCGATGCTACGGACACTTGTTAAGTAGACAGATCGATTGATCCTTAGCATCTGATTCAGTCCTTTAGCACCATCTTTTGCAGACTTTGCTAGCTCTTGGGGCATTTGCAAAGTTTTGCGTCTATTGATTCTTCTTCTTTTTCCCTTTCTTTGAGGGTCTCAATTTTAAGTAGAGGGAGGAGAGAGCAATGGTGTACATTTGAACAATGTCAATTGAAATTGTTGCTGGTGTAACATTTCTGTTCTCCGATGTACATCTTTTTCTTGTATCTTGCATTGCTTCATTCTTTTTATGATATGTTATTTGTGTTGTTGTGTTGAGGAAAGCCCACACTTCAAATTTCTTTTCTAATTGGTGATAATATTAGGAATAAAGCCCGGAGTTATAAGTGAGAATCCCTACTTCATTTAGTTTGGATCTGAAAACTCAACATGACATGATGGCGAAGTGATTCTTATGCATATATATAATCCAAGAGGTCTAAATAATGGGTTTGAGGCTTTAGCAACCCGTAACTTATGTCAAACGAACTATACAAAATGGATATTATATAACTCCTTTTTGCATTAGATATACTAGCTAGGGCTAGATTAAACATTGTTACGTAAAAAGCCTTTCACGCATTCACTATTCGATGAGTGACTTGTAGGTAAATTTAGTTATATATTTATATTTAAATTATAAATTTCACCCACCCAAAGATAAATGTGTAAAAAATCTTTTACACTGAGAATAGACATAAAAAAAAATCCTTGTTAATAATGAGGTGATTCTTTTCTTCTATTTCATCTGTATTTATAATCCCAAGTCAGAGATCCACACGTGAACCACCTCGATACGTATATTTACAAATGGGTCATTTCAAGATTTACATAAATGAGCAAAACTCGCACTTTCTTGATGTGCAAGAGTTCAGAGCATATCAACCGTTAGATCATATAGCTCGTGCAAGGTCATATGGACTGAGCTCATGCAATAATAAGGCCAGTTGATTTATTTTTTTTATCTTTTTGCCCACATTAGATTGGGAAAGAGCTCGTTAAGTGATGATTAAATCAAAGACTCACAATCACCACATAAGTAATTCTGTAGTCCCCATTTTCATTGGTTGCTGTTGGGCGGGCTCAAAGTTGAAGAAACACTCCTTTGGCCCATTGAATAGCCCAACTACTGGAGTTGCAAGAAGATTGAAGAATAGATGACCACCTTCTTTTGCAATTCCATGGCTGATTATTTGTGACTTGCGATTAATGCGCACAAAACAAAAAAAAGGTTCACGGAGTCTTTTTGTTTGATTGATCAGATTGCATGATTTAAACGGTCGTCTGGAGAATCGGGTTCGGCAAAAAAAAAAAACGAGGAAAATTTCGTTTAAGTAACTAATATAAGTATTATCACATTGTGAACCTTTCTTCCGTGGATACCCAATATCTAATACTTCTACTATTTCCTTAGTATTTTAACTAATTCCTAATCTATCAGGCAAGAACAGAAGCTTAATATTATCAGACGCAGAGATGAGCTAATATAATTTAGTGAGAGTATTAGAGGCTTAAGTCTTGTAATGCATCTATGATATTCTTGTAAAGTTTTTTGTTGTTGACTCGATCTTTTTCCCTCTTTTTGCTCATCTTTTCCATCAAAAGGACTTGCTTGAGTTGTTTCTCCAGCTACAAACATGAACGCCCTACTCATTCTGATAATTAAACAACCCTGGTTTTTCTATGGCATCTGCAGCATGAAATATGATTTGTCCAGCAAAAGCAACCAAAGTGCGTGTGGAAGTACATAGCAATCCAAAGGGAATTTTTAAAAAGAACCCCAGGTTGTGACACCCCAATTTTAACTGTCAGATCAGCACAATGGTCCAGCTCTTTTCAAGGTAGGTGTTCATTTCATAGTCACAGCAAAAGAACAGCCAAGAAATCATGTTTTTTCTTCTCCCCAGTAAAAAGAAAAAACAGAAAATTACTTGTCCAAGTAAAAGGATTAAAAGAAAGAGGAAAGCTTGAACAGCTCTCAGAAAAGCTACAATGACATGTGTGCGTGCTCATACTTGAGTCAAATACCCTAAGGATTTTACCCTTCTTTCCCATGTCCAGTGAAAGGGCAAAGGGTCACATCATGTAGCTTTCCATCTCTTAATTTTCCTTTATTTGTTTCATTAAGTCTGTCTGATTTTGATCTCTTCATTTTCCCAGCCGCGGACAACAACATTCTGCTACCAGGGCATACTTACTCCTGTATGATTTTAATGAATCAGTGATGTGATCAACGAAATCAATTGCCGTATATAAATCATATCAGAGAACGTCCTGTTTGCGATGCTCATACAGTTCATTAGTCATAATGAGATTGGTCTAGGTCTTGTGCTATTAGGAAGACATGTTTCACTTGGGCTAGTAAAGTATAATCACAAAGAATCACTCGCGTGAAGACATACGAGTTTTTTTTTTCCCCCCTTTTTTCTAATAACAAGAGAAGAAACCCAGAGAAGTTGTTTGATCAGATAGCTGATTTATGCCGCAAACTGAGCTTGTAGGCTTGTGGTGCATGCTTAGTGGAGTTCAATAAGGTATTCTTTTCTGCAACAAATGAGTGAATTATGTGCAGCAGCGTCTAGCACATATGCTAACATTGGACTGGAAAATTGAGGAATAAAGTGACTGCCATACGCTTTCAACATTCGCTGCAGAAACACTCCAAAAAAGAGTCAAAAAAGAGGACTGGCCTTTGACAGGCATGTACATGATGCAATGTCTCCATCGTCCTCTTCTTGAGGAAAATTGAATCTCACCCAAAGCCATGTTTTTGCTGCCACAGGGGACCAATTGATCCTAAAAATAGGATGTTTCTTACTTTGTCTAGCTGAATTAAATATTTACTTGATAAGGCCCAAAGCTATTGAACAAACATGGGTTTTCACTTGGATTTGGACAAGAGCAGTGAGAGTTTATCTTGACCTGAAACTACAGGGAAGAAGGCAAAAATACTCGCAAATTTTATCAGGGTACACGCAAAACAGAGTAGAGCTTGAGTGAGCTGATTAAAAATTTAAGGAAAAAAGCCAAGTTGGTTGATCTATGCAAATAACTGACATTTCAAGCTGCTTTTGCCATCAAGGTTTTCTCAATGCTCAGCAATTATGCACACAAAGTGGAGGACACAACAAACACACTGATAAAATTAGGCTCTGTTTATAACAGCCAATCTCTGGGGCTTTTGTCTAAATGTCTATAGTGTCAGATCCAAAGCATGATCAAGTGACAGAATAATTACCACACAACTTACTTCATCATCTCTGTGCTCTGTTACTGCAAGTATGATTAAAGCACTCTGAAAAAGTAATTTTGGGGGTCAGAATAAGCAGCAGAAGCATCTTTCAGTAACTCATAAATAAACTTTGTTCTTTGCTTGTGCATGTCAATAACTTGGTTGGGCCTTTTGACTTCATTCTTACTCGGAAAGTCATCAAAAACCAACTGATAAAAGAGTGTTTCTTGCTGGTCCTGGCCCTTTCTGTCCATTAGAAAAAGTTCTGGTATGAGAATTCAGGACCTACCAAAATAAGGTTCTTTCATTTTAAATTCATTCATTTCAGCATGCCTCTTTGCCATGCGCAAGGCAAGAATAAGCCTTTAGTTTTTTTCAATTTGAAACATTGCATCTTTACATAACCTCATTTTCCATGCACATCAGCTTATTGGCATGATTGAGCAAAGCCAAAATGTTCTGATCCAAGTTGGAACACAATCGAGCCGAACTGAATTGCCTTTTCAAAGAAAACGCAGAATATGTCATCAATTAAGGTAACTGTTCTATCATAGACCATCTCTCGACCCTATTCTTTTCATGACATAACTTTACTTAAGTAATTCAAACCGAAATTCCCATATTCTTTGTCAAGTAGCGTGAGATCTCGGGTTAAATTCTCATTGGTGCAACCACTTCAACTCAGGCTGCAAAAAAGTAATTTTTGACAAATTCCATAACCACAACATGGATAAAATATCTTAAACAAGCTAGAGAGACAAACTTAGTCCGAAACGTGAAGGCTAACCCCAGATATCATCTGACCATTGTACAAGGAAAACAACTCAGCCTCGTGAAATACCCCTCGCTCATCTAATCGGCCCGGTAAAATGAAAGGCCCAACGACGAAATTGTTTGCACTTAGAGGTTTTGTCATCGATCTTATGTTAACGCATCTAATTCACACACAGATGTGGATTCTTTCCTGTCCTTTCCCAGACTTGCATAAAACTTATTGAAAGTAGAGTACCACACAGTGAATTACTACAGAAAGATCAGTAAAATACTATTCGCCTAATGCTCTGGTTCAGCATATTACTGTGTAGCAGTGCAGGCATGCCATAATTTCTCCTCATAACAGGAACATCTCCTTGCAAATTCAGGCGTGCCAAATCCAAAGTTTTCATTCTTCCGTCCTCGTCTTCTTTTGAAGTACTGGAAAATACTATTTAAGCAAAACTTGCACTTCTTTTGAGACATCCTCAAACGGGTACAAAGCCACGCACATACCCCCTCCAAATAAAGTAAATATAGAACCCACCATTGGGGAGCTCATCAATCATGACCTCCATTATATCTGCCAAAGCTGCGAGGATTGTCCTCTTGCTGCTTTTAGGAGTTTGTTATTTCACATTCACAGAGGATACCATAAAATTAAAGGAGAAATAAAATAAGAACAAAAAAAAAGATGAGTGTGAGAAGAGAGATGATCAAGAACACTGCCTTTTCAGTATAATCATCAGCAACAAGACAAGCCCAAGAACATGAGGGTTTCAGCTTTTTCTTTCCATTTTCCTTCTTTTCTCTATGATCCTTCATCACTCTTAATAATGAAGAACCTTACAAAAATCATCAAATGCCTCACTTCTATATGCATTTAAAACAAAAGGGGGAGTACCCAAATGATTGTGTTTGCCCGTTCTTCCTTCTCTTTTTTAAATTCACAAGAGGGTCGAAAAAAAAATTAATCTCCTGAAGAAATTAGAATAAAGAATCAAATAATCTTTGGTCTGGAACTTGCAACTCTGGCCTGGTGAAGTCTCATCCTGCATAAAGATGATGCAAATCACTGTTACTTCTTAAGTGGCAAAGTTCAGGAAATTAGTTCTAAGCATAAAAATATACCAAAAGATGATTAATACCTAGTCATTGTGGAGTTCCAAAACTGTTGTCGCGGAAGATTATGCGACCAGTCATTTGGCTTGTTAATTGCATCTCTTGTTTTGATATGTACTGAAGCTGTAAACTCCGTAGCTAAGACTATGTAGTTTTTTATGGTCGCGAGTAGTTTAGGGGAAGTTAGCAGTATTTACGCCTGGTCAATTAAAGGAAAAAAGGGATTAATCGAGGTGAGGAAAAAGATAAAGATCTACAGCAAAATCGATAAAGGTAAAACAAATGAGAGCTGAACCTTTTTCAGTTAGTGGGTAAGGCAATGTCCCCATCATCCTTCCAAGGAGACTCTTCGAAGTGATTTCTGCCTGCAAATGGGGACCAGAAGTCCTAATTATGAAGAAGAACGAGCAAGAAAACTCAGAGAATTTCGCTTGGAAGAGTGTCCAAACACAAAAGTCTAGAATAGTTGGCCAACCAGTCGTACCTCTTTTGAAGGAGTGATTTCAGGTGACTTCGCCATAGACGCTCCAAATGCTCGAGTCTCCAAAAGATGAGCAAAATTCAGATCCTCTTTAGAACAGTATTTCCTTCATGTTTGTGAAACAGTTGCCCTACCCGTTTTAACTTTAAGCCACCCAACAAGACGAGGAATGTGATAAAGCTCCAGTATTGTGCCTGGGTTACATAATGCAAGTGATACTTCAGAATCGAAATGTCTGAAGAGGAATGGAGTTCCCGATTAAGGTCTATCTCCAATATAAACCTGCAGAAAAGGACAAGTAATCTTAATGACTAACAAGAGTTGCTCATTTTAGAGCGGTCATTATGTGCAGGACGATGGTTAATGCCTGCCAAAGCATTCTTGACCTCCAGAGGGAGGGGAGATAGAGAGAGCGAGCACCTGGGTATTAGTAGGGCTGTTCCATCGTCATTCAGAAGAAGCTTAATTCAGTGTATCCATGTGAATATGGAAGTAGTTCCTCGACCTGAATTCTCGAACTAGAATAGCTTGTGCTTTTTCTTAACCGTGTATGGCTTGATTCAACCTCAGCACAGAAAATGCCATAAACAGGTCTGTGGTCCGAGAACCTTGACTCACCACGGTCATAGGATAGCTGATGAAGGCCTTCCCCATGCCATAAAATTCGATCGCACCTTGACAAACAAGGATGACTCAGATCAGCAAGCAAAATCACCCAGCAGGGAAACCTTTGATATTTCCATACTTATTTTGCCAATTTAGACAAAATAGGTCCATGCAATCTGCATAAACCCCGCTTACCAAGCAGGTGTACGACGCTTTTCCCTCGGATGCATATCGCCCCCTGCATATCTGTCTGAATTGGTAGAGTACTTGTATGTCGGTGGAAAATAAATTTTCGATTCATTCCACCCCACAAAGACCCGGCCTCGCCTCTGCTCGATTCGTAACTGCAACAATTAAATAGAGACGATTTAGATCAATAATCTACTTTAAATAAATGAAGAGTGATCATAACATAGGACGAGGAGATAGAAATGGACAGTAGATCTTCGGAAGAGTATATGCTAACATGCCTGATCATTCTCCAAAAGCGCCCTCCAATTCCGCATCTCCACAAGTGCCTTGGCAGATCGATATGAGAGGGCAATACGATAGTTCAAATCCCCAAGCCAAATAATCCGGCTGAAACAAAACGTAGTCAGATGATGAAGCCACATAAGGCAAAGAACACACTTGGAACAGTATGCGCTAGCTTATGCAAATTAAGATGTAGCCAATTAAAGTCGGAGGCAACAGCTGGTGATCATAAAAACAAGTCAATTTAACTTAAACATGATGGTCCATTGTTTCAACGGAGCAGTGAAAACTTCACAAACTCTCATTTTCTCCTTTTTAAATCCCATTTTCTGTTTTTGTTTTAGTTACTGAAGTAACTTAAGCTCAGTTTGGAATGAGCCTTACTCATGCTCAAGAATGGTTTCCGGGGACTTCTCAGCCCCGGCACTGTTAACTTTGGGAAACCTCGTCTTCTTAAGAATTTCCATAACATCAGAGTTCCTTCTCAGCTCATCGCCCACTTTCTGGCCTGAGGTTAGATGACTACATATGAAACAAAAGCTTGTTTGGTGCAACAACATGCTTATTGAAATAGATCCCTGCAAAGCCACAGCCAATGCTTCACGTTATGTTTCTGTGTGTGATTCCAATAATGCAAACCTGAGTCTAAGAGCAGGTAAAGTAAAGCAAGTGCTGTATTTCTCAACCAACCTTATTTCCAAGGTAGCCCATCAATCCTCTACCAACGCAAGAGACCTTCATGTTCTGGACATGGTCCCTCAGTTCACTCCTCACCCACACCGTCAGGAAGATGCCCACCATTTGCTTGCTCGCAACTAAGCAATATCTTGAATTCCCTCTTGTTCTATAACCATTTTCATTCGATGGGAAACCTCCGTAAGACGTCGGTGAATATAACACCGTGCTTGGGGAATCTTCAGGTCCAAGCCCATTGTCATCATCCGACGAACCCCATCTCGAGTAATCGCTTGGGCGGGAAAAATCACTCCTCCGAGAATAATCACTCCGCCGAGAATAATCGCTCCGTCGGGAGTCGCTCCGTCTGGAATAATCGCTTGGCCGGGAATAATCACTTGGCCGGTAATAATCGCTTGGCCGGTGGCCCCATCTAAAACTGGGGTCAAAATCACTGGCTCTGTGACCAAAAATCACCCTGTCACAAACACTATACCGTCGATCAAGCCGTGGCTGGCCGATCGAAGGGTCAGTATCTCTCCAACTGGGGGTTGTCTGGAATGATCGGCGAGGGAAGAGAGCCGAGGCCTTGCGCCTCACCGATGCCTCGAAGTCTGCGTTTATTTCTGCGACTGGTTGAGGTATTGGAGACGGGGTGTAGCAAACGTTGCCTCCACTGGTTCCTGGGAGATTGTTTAGAGATTTACGAATAAGAGCCAGCCACTTCTTGGCCGGACCGCTGTCTTCTGCTCCCAGAATGTTACCGGCATTCAAAGGAACTATTTCTTGGAATCTGAATAACAATTCTCTTATTAATGATATGGGATGATAGAGTTATAGAAGCGTTCTTTTTCTTTGTGATGAATTACAAGATCATACCCGAGTACATAAATGTCGGCTGGAGGAGATGCATGAAGCCAATCATCTAGGTTCAGATTCTGATGTGGGGATCTTCCTCCTACGTTCCATGTGGCCACAAAAATGCTGCTCCAGAAATCACAAAAACAATTGAAGAAGCTTAGTGCAGATAAAAGCACAAGAGCGCGGTAATAATTCAAATTACTCGGAGGGGCAAAAGTACCTGTAGTTGTGCACATCTATAATTCTTGGATTATCAAGATTCATTCTCCTTCTCCGATGCTGCTCCGCACTCTTGTTGAACTTTTCTGCATCAGATAACGGACAAAGAGTTTCAGGAAATGTCTGCATTTTGACTGAGCAACACATGAGCTCGTTTGACAGGTTCTCCGGTTAAAAAAGAAAAGCCGCAGTTTGTGAGTGTCATCCAAAAGATACAATTTCAGCAATACTTGACCTGTTCTGCTTTTCTTGATTGTGCCCGGTTCTCTCCCCGATATGCTGGTTCGGATTTCAACATCACCTCCTGGAAAGAAACCCCGCGGGTGAATGCGCCGTCCGCATTTAACAAGAAGGGAAAGGTGGTAGTAAAATGACCCAAATTGAACAAGAATTGAGCTTCAACGAGCACGTATCAAAGAAATTTGATTGGTTTAGGCAAGCAAAAAACAATTTTTTGCGTTTGGGCAAGCAAAAAACAACTCTAAAGACACCAATGTTCTGGCGGTTTGGAACTTCAGAGTTTTATGTACTGTAGCAATTGAACATCTTTTCTGGGCTGAACCTAAAATCCAAAAACATGCTCAACAGTAAACAAACTAATAACAGATTCCTTTTCTTGCTGAGAGCAAGACTAATGCTTCAGACTTGACAGAACCATTTCACGGGGAGAAGAAATGATAGATACCCAAAGAAAATTTTAACACCATGAAAGGAATCGAGAGACCCACCTGCACAAACCATTTCATCTGCCTGAAAGTCCTCAGGCTTGCACTTGATGTTGCACAGCTTCCTGACCAACCTCTTTGACCATGAGAGCTTCATCATTGAGATGCATACGTAAAAGTCAGTAGTCATTTCAAAGGAACCTGATGGCACAACTTCAACCAAGGCATACAACAATCAAATCTATCTATTGACAGAGGACTGTGATCTCAACCAAATGACTATCAAAGACACACCTTGCTTTTCTTGGAGTTGCCATCTGTCATTGTATCACAACAGTTCATGCAGCTGTGGAGTGTGCTCTGCTCTCCCTCCTCCCCTGGCTTTTGCTTGGAATCATCAAAGTTAATCAGAAACACAAGTGCCAAAAGCTCCTTCAGATGCTTTCTCGCTCCACAAAACTTCTCAATGCACAACTCCCAAACCAGGGGGGAAAAAACTTGGATTTGTGTCCCCTCCTTATCTGAGGTAATTTTGGGACAAATACCAAAATAAGCCCAGAAACAGCAGCAAAGAGAGGCTAAACACCAGATGGGTCTTCCAGATTTTCCCTCTTCTGGGACTGTGTTGGCTTGTGTAAGACAATGAAAACAGGGGACAAAAGGAGGAAAGATCAGCAAATGAGTGAGTGAGAGAAAGAGAGTGTGTGCGCGGGGGGGGGTGTCTGCGAGGATGAACACTCTAACGCAATGGTAAGTGAAGAGAGAGAGAGAGAGAGAGGGAGTCTTAAGAGTGGAACAAGCAAGACAATGCGGCAGACACAGAGGCAGGCAAAAAAAGAAAGAAAGAGAGAATGCTCAAGCTGCTTTTTTTCCCCCTTTGCCTTTGTTTCTCTCTCTCTCTCCCCAAGAAACAAACAGCCTCGTTCTCAGCAACAGCAAAGTAACAAATTTTGAACAGAATAAAGTGCAGAGAGAAGTGAGAGACAGAGGAAGAGAGAGAGAAGGCATTGGTCATAAGGGCGTTCTTCGGTTCTTCATTTCTTTTTCTTTCGTCCCCCCAACATCCAAAATGCGATTTACCGATTCAGCCCCAGATGTTCCTTTTTCTAAAGAAGAGGACAATAATGGGGCAAAGACAGAGACCAACGGGCAGGTCCGGTCCTTCCTTGGAGTGCCATCGATGGCGAAACGACACCCCCTCTGCTCGAAAACGACCTGCCCATCTGGTCTTAGGGCAGCTAGCGAGATCTGGTCATTCTCTCTCCCTAGTCTCTCACTGTGATGTACCTTGTGGCTGTGACTGTCCTACACATTCATCTTCTCGGTCTTCCCTTCAAAGTGAAAAAGCAGTTATTGAGGCAGAGAAAATCACAAGAATAATAAAAAAGATAAAAAGATAAAGGTGAGGCATGAACAGTGGATAGTTTCCACACTGTTTTCCTCTCTCTCTCATATAATATGGAATGAATGTCTTGTGTTTATATGTGTAATGCATCCTATCTTGGCTTTCCTTTTTTTTCTTTCTTGCTTTCTTGGGTATCTTTAGAAACGTTCCTCTACTCCATTAGAACATTCATTTTCTGCAAATTCATTTCAAAACCCATTGTGCAGGACGCATTTTGAATCTCTCGGAATCTTTCTACAATTCGATGCATTCGAATTTCAAATTATCGAAACCTTCGAATCACAGTTCATAACGAAAAAAGATTTGTTTTTGATCTTTTGTGGGAAGTTACCAAATATAGGAAAAATCGAAAGGATGATCAAGCTTCTAGAATTTGTCCTCGGTGACTAACATGTCTCACTCGATCATTGTTTGCATTAAAATTGATTTAAATATTTCACTAAAGTGGCAAGTTTGGTTATTCACTTTATTTGCGCATTCTCTTGAGGTAATTCCAAGAAGCACGAACTTATATGTTTTTGATAATTAAACAATGTATGTAGTACAAGCAGCTGCCACATCCAATAGGAATTACGCGGACACTCAAAGAGTCTTGGATAATATATGAAATATAAATCGATCAGAAGGTTCAGAAATCGATCACCAAATGAAGCAGGCAATTTTTTTCGCCACTTTTGTACAACTAAAATTACGGAAATGCCCATTAGCTTAGCTACATTGCCTCATCTAGTTTCACATGAAACATACAAAGGATCAACTACTGTATGATAAAGTAGCAAACAAATTTTTTTTTCATATGGCATGAGCCAAGCCATTTGTTTGATTCAACTTGAAATTGTGCCGTTTACTCCTTTGACAACCTTTGGATTAGATTGATTTTTTTTTCCTCAATGTATTGAATTTGATGGAATTGCATGAATCTATATAGAGGAGGCATTCAAAGCCCCTACTCTCTTGTGTCCTTCAAAACAAGAGCACTATTCCCAATTTTAGGGGGATGGGTTCCTTCTCCCTAATTTAATTTTTATCTTCTCCTTTGTCTTATTGATTGATTGATGACCCTTAAAATTGTCCAAACTCCTAGAATTTTCCTTTTTGCCCTACCCTGTGGCACAGACACAGTGATTGCATGAATTGGTGAAAATGGAGTTTCCATGTAGCTTGACTGCCTTCCTTTGAAGGGGAAGGGTCGAAACTTGTGCACCCACGAATTGATTGACCAAGTTACCGTTTGGGGGATGCATTGGAGTTATTGCGTATTAATTCGTTTGGTAACAGATTAAAAACACAACGTCTTGAAATTGGGTGGTAAAATAGCTATGAGATTCGGTTCCTAAATATTTGTGTAATATGAGATTTATATCACTTATTGTTACCGTATTTAGAGTCGAATTTAGAATTTCGGTGTGTCCACATCCTAAAATTACTATTTGTATCATACTTGTTCTTTTATTTCAGGGCATTTGCTTCTATACTTCACTCAAAAGTTTACCAAAACATATGGTCAATCGCACTAAATTTGAAAATGCTGCATGCGCAAAGTGGGCGTGTGGAGTCTAGTTGAATCTGGATAATTTCTTTCAAAACCTACAGCAGAAATCCAAAAGGTTACAACAAACAAGTGAGAATAATGTGAAATTTTACTTTATCTTCTCGATCTCTCACTCTCTTAAACGTTAAATCCTAAATTTTAATTTCTTTACTTTACTCTCCCGAACTTATACATGATTCCGGTCATTAGAGCCGTCAAATTTGTTCAATTGAAATGTGTCAAACATGTGATTCTTAAGCTAAAAATACCACCGCAAAACATTGTGTCCCATATCCAAACCTTTGTATTTCGAAATGGAAGCAAATTGTGGGGTGATTTTTGTTAGAATATTCGAATATTATACCGCGCCGTTATCAAACAATATAAACTTTTAGAACAGTTGATAGTGATCCAATAAAATCTCATAATTTCTTCCCTAAGATTCACGCTCTTTGCTAAATGAAGAGTGGGAGAGGGCGTACGCTTAATGCATTGCAAGTTATATTTTCAGCTTACGAATAGCAATTTTGCGAGGGGAAGAAAAATATAGGGATACGAACACAAACAGTCACTGAACTTTGACCTAATATGTAATATAGTTCTTGAACTTTTAATTTGTTCAATGTAGTCCCTAAACTTTAGCTTAATGTTCAATATGGTCCATGAATTTTTACTTTGTTTAATGTAGTCCCTGCACTATGTGGTCCTTTCATTAATTTAAGGGACTAAATTGAACATGTACCAAAAATTCATGGACAATATTGAACAAATTTAAAAGTTCATGGACCACATTGCACAATGAGTTATAGTTCAAGGGCCACACTGAACAGATTAAAGAGTTCATGAACCATATCGCACATTAGGCCAAAGTTTAGAACTATTTGTGTCATTTTTCCAAAAATATATTGACGATGTTAGCTGATAAAACAATTTGTAAGTCCATGTGAGCGATGTGTATAGATTAAAAAATTAGGGTTCCAAGTGTTAGAGGCGAGGGCTTTGAGGGTAAACCGAGAGGACTTACAATTTAGATTCAACATATATAAGAACGAAAGCTCAGGGGTGACTAAATGGACTCAAAATTTAGGGTTACCACTACAAAAGAACAATAGTTCAAGGTAGGTTAAAGTGAAATATCTCCTAAAAATGATTAGGATGATTTGATGACCTCTTGGGATTAGACTGAAAGGAAAAAAACTGCTCTTGAATTGATGAGTGTCTACGTAAATAACCTGCTTCTGATTCGAAAGCGACAGCATGCTCGAGAAAACTGATTAGATACACAAACCTAATATACAATGCTGGAAGATTAAAAAATAAAGAAAGAATAGCTTGTTCTTTTGTTAACCCTAAGCCTACTGTTACTTGACCATAAAGAATACCAAAGCACTACTGTTCACACTAGAATATGCCCCCCCGCCGCCCACGCTGCTGCCGCCTCCTCGAGGCAGCTCCGCCACGGGCATTCGGCGACAAATGGCCTACTGGCCTGCGGCCTAAAGTATATATGAACACGAGAATTTCTTTTAACACACACTTTCAGCTCTTGACTCCGCAAACTTGCGTTTCGGGTGTTGACCAGAGTCTTGAATCTGCGAGGAACACAGTGGCACGCATACGCTCTCCAAGCACGTCTGTTTTTTAAATTATGGAGCATGTTGGAAACCCTCATGATTGCCTGGCCTCGGGCATTGATTAGCGACTAATAATATTTTATGCGTTTAAGGAAGCTAATCTTTCTTTAGTTAAAAGCTGACGGCGGACCAATTCCCATATTGGGGTACCAAAACGATTATACTAATTACAATATATTGAAGTAGTCCTCCAATCTTTGTTTGTCTTCCAAATGGATCTAACTTTACAACCTCACCAACACCAAGTGTAGATTGATTTCCACTGGTTTTGAGGCCGATTGGGTCCCGGTCCCGATCATGGGTGGATCAACAAGCTCCTCCTCTAAAGTTGTCTTATGGTGCTTTGTTATCGAGATGATGCTCCAAGTGTTTGTCCCATAATGTGGCGTTTCATTTTGTTTCTTTTTCATTTTTTTTTAATTTTCGTTGTCGCTTAGAGTTTGCTGGAAAAGAAAAGGAGAGTGAAAATGGTGTGGCTTTGAGGAAATTTTTGCTGACAATGGGAACCACACAAGTATTTAGTTTCACCACTAAGTAGCTGGAAAAGATGCGTATATTGCATAGTCTTTGATTTGTTGGAATGCACTGTGTGAATGAATGTGTATGTTCCATCTCCAACAGGACTAAGGATAGGAGGAACTGTGTGCCTCATGATTTTGAGGATGAATTTGTGTAAAACAATTGGGATCATTCTCACTTTTGTTAGAAGGTAAATTTGAAAGAACGACACATCGACATCCGTTTCGAACCCTAATATGTCGAACAAGTGCTGCAATGGTAGGGCAGACCCTCCACCTCCAGCCACAACTATCGCCATCGGGCCTCCCCGGTGAAGGCCACAATGTTCGTCTATGATAGGCTTATTGAGCTTCGTGGGTAGTGGCATTGGCGGGCAACTGTTTAGCGTGTGTGATGGATGAGGGTAATTCGGTAATTGTTTTCAAATTTTAACATTCGATCGTACCTTTTTTTTACGTGACATTCTTTGAGGGGAATGAAATTTCAATTGGCCGGCCTGCATGAACTATATTTCCATTCAATCCCCAAATTTAGAGGGTCCCAAAATCTTAATCGAAAACTGTTCAACACCGCAAAATGAGAAGATGTGATCTATTCAATCCATGTCTATTTTCTCCTTCAAAGGATAGGTCAAACAAATCCCCTTGCATCACGACACACTATGAAACCATGTTCCAAATTTCGACATCATTCAAGTGGCGTATCCTTCTAGTTCTCGAACCTTTTCCTACTCCGGTTTAACTACTTCAAGACTTTTGAAGTAGAAAAGAGCATCGTTAGTTGAACGGCAGATGGGGAAATGGAAAATATCTCACAAAACATCGAGTAACTGGTTTTTGATTTGATTTGCCTATCAAGTTTTTCGTGATAGGGAAATGCTTGGCTAACGGCACCGTCCCTCTTAAAAAAGGGACCGTGCCTTCCCAGCCTTTCAATTTCTCAAGGAAACCGATTAAATTGTTCAGCCGGTTTCCTTCAAAAATTT